ACACCAGCAACAGGTGAGGGGGGGCCTAACGTTTAGGCTATCTCCAGAACATGGCTGCCATCTTGAAAGCTACCATATTGGATCAAAATCAAATTTGTCCAAAACGAAGGCAATCATTTAGAAAACCAGAGAAGACTATAGAACTGTCTCAGAAATGGATTATTGCTGTCAGATTTGCAGATTTGTGGTTCAGAAGTTGTCAACAAAGAAGGTTGCAACAACAATTGGGAACTTTGCCTGTGATGCACATCTATTTGACGTGTTCAGTGTGCTGTCTATGGTGCTGAACACAATTCCATCCTCAATTCCCTGTGACAAACAGCAAACGTTTTGAACTGTCCATGTTGGGGTATTCAAAATTTTCCCTTTCATTTCTGAAATAAAAGGGTTTCCTGAGACTTTTGACTCACCCTGTATTTACTCGAACTTCTAACCACTCAGTTGAAATGTCACATCAACGTTTCACCAAAAACTGCCTCAAACTCTTGTGTAAAGGGTGGCGGGTGATATGCATCCATGTCAGATTTGGTAGGCTTTTAACTAATAACAGCAACCATACACACCTGCAGTTATTCTTGATTAAACGTTTTGTTTTTGGTCAGTGACAGAGTGAGCTCACTGATTCCCTCAGACGGTACATCAGGGTTTTTCTTTTTTTTAAATTTTTATTTCAAACACATTTCCCAGATCTTAAAAGTGATCCTATTACAAATCCCTTCAAAACCAGACAACTTCAAAATGAGAAAGTGCAACCCAGACTTTGAGAACAGATAGAGGACGGGCGCCTGGAATAAAGTGGGGAAATGGCGGCCTATCCAGGTCAATCCATCCATCACCGTGCAGTTACTCAGACGGAGGACAGCTCCCTGACAGAGGTCTGAGTGCTTTGGGATTGAGATGGAGGAGCGGGAGAGTTATAGTTACACAATCTTTCTTTAAAGGAACCTTGACAACCTACCTATATGCAGTAAAATATTTTCTGTAAAGTCATTACTTTTTGTCTTCTGTAATAATGTGAAATAATGAAAAGCCTGTTCTTTAATAAGACAGTTTTTTTCCCATTTTTATTAGCATTTTGTACAAACTTCAAGAAGTTGATATCTCAACCATCTCTATTTAGGTTGTGAAGAATTTTAGAAAATATATGCTGAGCTATCAACACTCAGACTCTGATGCTTTTGGAGCAGAATCACAAGCTGGAGGTGATTCTTGCTGAGGGTTGCAGGCTAGCTGTGCTTCCTGAGCTCGCTGGCGGGATGGAATTGACCAGTGGTTCCCAACACTGGTCCTCAAGTAGCCCTATCCAGCATGTTTTCCTTGTTTCCCTGCTCTTCAGCAGGTCTTCAGAAGATTGTTAATTACTCAGTCATTCAAACCAGGTGGTCAAATCAGGGAAACATCTAAAAATCACTGCTTTAAATGTTGACCAAAATATAATATTGACTTAGTTTTATGTTTTTTAGTATTGCCTCTGGAAGCCATTGATTCTTTGCCATTTATTTGTAAGAAAACTCGTGTTCAATAAACTGAAATTGAGGTGATAAACACAGATGTTAAATAAAGTGATTTGTAGAAGGAATGAAAACCATACAACACCAGAATCTGGAATCTGAGTGGTTTATTGCTGCTGCTGCAGACAGGAAACCCACACTGACTATAAAACCGGAAGTTCAAGTATTTATACAGTTATTCAATGCCTTTGCTCGCCCCCTGCTGGTCTACGGCTGAGTCACAGGCATTCAGACAAAATTCTCACCTAATGCATTTCAAGCGGTTATTTATGTGTTGACAAAATGTTTCAGACATGTTGCTAGACCTATTTTAATCAAGACATAATAGATTAAACAATAGATTAACACTGTTATTATTTCAAAAGAGAACTAAGAATATAGTGTTGTGCTTCTAAAATCAGTGCTAACCTACCTAAAACTAAACTAAATTTCTACATATTTGTAAATAATAAATCAGACAACATGTATTAAAGCAGTGATTCTCAACTCTGGTCCTCAAGGACTCCTGTCCTGCATATTTTAGATGTTTCCTTGATTTGACACACCTGGTTTGAATGAATGAGTGATTAACAATCTTCTRAAGACCTGCTGAATAGCAGGGAAACAAGTAAAACATGAAGGATAGGGGTCTTCGTGGACCAGGGTTGGGAACCACTAGAATAGATCTTAGGGAAGTTGCACACACGGTGAGGCGAGAACGACCAACAAATGTGGATGATTGAAATTCACCATTGAGAGGTCCCAGTGAAGACTTTGAAGGCTGACAAAATCAAAAGTGTCGGCCTGTACCAAAACTATTGTGATTATTGGAATCTGGCTCCCGTGTGTTGGCCTTGAGGCCTAGATACTGTGTCTCAAACTGTCCTGATGTTATGTCAACAGACGCTCTGCCCCCACCACCCCCAACTCCCACTCCCGTCTGTGAACTGGTCTGAGAGCTATCAAGTCAACCTGATGAACACTACCTTTTCAGAAACTATGGCTGGGTGGGGCTTCGGGGTACGGTTTCACGGTTTCCTTTTGCAGATGCGTACACACTCACAAACAACACAGCTTCAGATTAGGGTTGGGCATAATCATAGGGTGCAATTAATCGTCAGAAAAACATTAATCGATTACTTTTTGGCACTTGACGTTTAATACGATTAATGCCATCAGTCACAGTCCGCTCGCTGCTCCTCTCTGCTTCAGATATGATGAATGTTAAAAAAAGTTTCTGTAATTTATTTATCTATCAACACAATTCAAAATTTGATGTATAGCCTGAGGTCTAATTTTGACACAATTTGGAACAGACTTTTATGAAGAGCAAATCTTTCCCTGAAATTGGTCATGTGACTAGGACATGAGGGTGTCCAGGGACTCCAGGGGATTAATCATCAAATTAATCGTTATCGGTTAAATACCACAATTAATCATGATTAATTTATTTGCCAATATTGCCCAACCCTAATTCAGATACACGCCTCCTCATACCACCATCTTTGCTGGCTTAAATTTGCCCTACGCAGTGTTTTTTTATTTGTTTGTTTGTTGCAAACTCATATTTTGTCCTTGTTAGGGAAACAGTACAAGATGTTTTTTGTATCCTTCATCTACCCTCATGTTTGATATTTATCTTTTCTAATGCAAGGGTATCGCCTCTTTATGGCTGCAGGACCCCATGCACCTGTTCTCTCTTGTATGTCATTCTTGTTTTTGTTTTTGCCTCTCTCTTATATGGGTTGGTCCAAATGGTAATTTTGCTTTGGGATCAATAAAAGTATTTTGAATAAAGACACAACCTAAATCATTATCCTTAGGTATACAAGCCTGCTGAGAATCTTTAAACCTGACTATAAAGGTGAATACAAAGACGCCATAAGGCATGAATGTGGTCAGAACAGGTTAAAGGAGACCAATAATGGGTCCTAGAATTTTTTATGGTATGTCTGTGGGCTATCCAGACCATGTTCATTCAATTTAATGCACAAAATAATTCTCAGATAATAAAATTTTCCATTTTCTAGTTCTGCCTGCTCTGACTTCCGTTCAGAAGAGCTGTTTATGTTAATGAGCTCTGTTGGTAACGCCCTCCAAAAATCTGTTGACATTAACTCCGCCCTCCAAAGCCAGAATTTATGTTAGCATGGCTAATAATAGCAGAAGCTCCGTTGTACAACCATATGAGACCCAGAAGCAGAGTCGTGGTCGCAGCTTCTTTCTTTCTTTTTTCTCTCCCTCCTCTGCTCTGCGCTCACTCTGCATGCTGTTACCAGAGCAGGGAGCAGCAGCGGTCAAAATACCTCAGAAACTTGAACAAATAGGCTTTAACAAGGCTTTAATAAGCTAAACAATAGAGGTACATGAGAAAATGTGTTCATAACGAACGAAAATAAATAAATAACCAAATTGTGTCCATGCCGGTCTCAAACCCTGGTCTCCCACTCTCTGGTCCAACACTCTACCCATTGCCCCATTGGAGGCTTGTTGTGAAATGAGCTACACATTACACAACAACACGGTGACGGCTTTTTATACTGAGGAGGTGTAGTCTCACCCGGGGGTTGCTAGGTAAGGGGCTGAACTCAGGTTCTGGTGGGTTTTCGTACGGCTTGTGACATCACAAAATGATGGAAGTATAAAACTTGTCGTTAATATACATTAAAAATACATTTACTTACAGTAAATATGCCCCTGGGTGCATTTTTTTGGTCCTAGGACTGTTTTTTTAAGAAGTACATACCCAAATTTGAGTAAAAAAAAAACCTTTTAAAAAGGGAATTTTGCGTAATAGGTCCCCTTTAAATATTTCACTTTACGTGTAATGGATGTATGTAATAGAAGAGTTTCACTTTCTGAACTGACTGGCAAAAACTTTTTTTTTTGAGATGCATCTGTACATTTGCTTGTTTTGTCACTGGTTCTAACAGGTACACCACACTTTTTAAAAGGATGTCTTTATTGATGGGTAGTGATTTTTTTTTTTCAAATTTTAAGTACAGTAAAATGGGCAAATCTGAAGAAAATTTAGATTTTTTTATACCAACAAAAGCTTTTTTCCTAAAAAGTGCTTTATCCATTTGAGTGCTTTTATCAACAGAACACCTACCACTGACATGCCTCCTGAAGAGAGAAATGTTACAAGCAAATGTAAAAAAAAAAATTCAAAAGAAATTAGCAGCAGGACATGTATGAACAGCTGTAAGCTGGTCTTAAGTCTGTAGAGGTGGCTGGTAGGTGGAACTGACTGGACCAAACTGGAAGGTTGAATATTCAAAGAAAAATCCAATAAGTAACATACAAATAGGGTAAAAACACTTGGAAATAGAATAAATTTACCATTTTATATTAACAAAAACAATCATGTATTTAAAACCCTATTTAATAGGTTGCACATTAGAGATGCCACAAATCTGAAATGTCTGATTAGTTTCCTTGAAATAAAGAGTATTATGAATGATTCAGTCCATTTTATTATAGCATTATCAAAAGATGTCATTTACTCACCCGTATGTGTCCTCTGGTGTGCCTTTAAGTGGGAGCTCTTGGTGTACACCTTCCTGCAGCCATTAAACTGGCAACGGTGGATCCTCTTCTTGTTCTCCGGTAGATCTCCGACCATGCACGCTGCCCCCTCCTCTTCGTCCTTCACCTGGACAGGAAGTGCATGTCCTGCCACCAGCTGGGCGGCGCTGAGACCCACCTTCCTGGCCACCAGCTTCAAAGTCAGCGTCCCATCAGCCGTGGCCGTGAGCGTCTGGTTGGGTTTGTTGAGGTGTCGGCCCAGTTCCGGTGAAGACGGGGGCGTCAGGGAGGTAACGGCGCTCAGCTGAGCCTGGTGGACCCCTTCGAGCCCCTCTGCGTTTTCAGGCTCCTGTCCCTTGGGTTTCAGGTCCCTCGTCATTGGTACGGAGGGCGGTACACTCTGCCGCGCGTGGCACAGGATCACCGGAGGTGGACTCAGTGGCTCCGGAAGGTGGGGCAGGCCCGGGAGCAGGGAATCCGTCAGGTCTTCCTCGCCATCCTCCTTTAGGTAGGCTGGAGTAAGGAGGCCATCAAGATCCTGGTCAAAAAGCTCCGAGAGACGTTTAGGCTCTGTCTGCAGATAACGCTCCAGTTCCAGACATGTCTACGGGAGAGAAAACATTCATTTTAGATTCATTTCAGGCACATTCGCACCTATATGCACTTCAGATTTCTTACATCCCACCGAACACCTTCAACAGTCATTAGATCATCTGCAACGTCTTTACACGCTGAGGAAGGAAAATCTGTAAGATGCCATCTTCTCACCAGGTAGGCAGCCACTCTGCACTGCTGTCAAACGCAAGGATAGTCACCAAGACGGCCTATTAAACGCTGATTGATTGCCACCCGCTGCAGCAGGGAACCACAGAGAGGCGAGAGAAAGTCCTAAACAGCACCAAACTCCTATCAGGAAGCATTTTTATGGCGCTTGGACGAGCCATGTGTGTGCCACTTTTCACTGAGCTGAGATAGGAAGATTTATTCAGCTGTAGTTATGGTCCGCTTCGTCCCCATTACTCCAAACACCTCTCCCTGCAGAGAGCAAATAAAAGGCTGCATCCCTTATTTGTGTGAACTGGCATCCTGAGAAGTCTATTACTTTCCTACAAGCTGGCAAGGTTCTGAGCAGCGAGGCGCCGGTGCGTGGGGGGGGGGGGGGGGGGGGACGCTCTGTGTCCAAGGATGAAGCTATTATGTCTGAACGGGCGACGCCAGTTTGATCCCGAGGATCACCGTGTTTTTCGCTTGTAGCCACTAACGCTTTTTGACAGCTGAGATGGAGGCTAGCGGCTCCGCTGGGTGCGTGCAACTCGCCACTTCATTTGTGTGTAAATAGGCACCGACAGACAGAGCAGCGAGCTCCATTATCAGGAATAAGGTTGCACAGACTAAACACATCAGAGACATTTACAATCTTTACAACTCCTCTCTTTCCTTGTTTGCACCTTTGCTAAAAATAGGCCGCCGTCTGTTGCTAAGGGAGTGCGATTTCTCCTCTAAGCCATTTCTTTCTAGGAACAACAAAAAAATGTTTGAGTGTGCACAGTGTTTGTAATGAAATCAAATTAAAAAGCTGCTCAGGACTGTTTCTACCATGAGAAGAGAAGATAACGAGCCGTGCCGTTTTCCTTTTTGCCGTACACCTCCATGCCCGCATTTTCCTGTGATGGTTTTAGGAAAACAACTTCTCCCACATCACGGTTTCTCAAAAGCCTTTACTGCTTCTTTGTTGGCTTTAGACAATGAGTTTCGAATTAAAAAGCGAGGAATTTCTTTCGCCTTTATTCCTATTTCAGAGCATAATTAGGTATTAAAAGTGTGGAGACGCGATAAGTGTGTGAAGCCTTGACTGTGTAGAAAAACACGCATCTGTTCAAAGAATAATCGTCAATACCTTTTAACCCCTCAACTGACCCTTCTCATCACTCTTTTACTTTTTGCCATTCTGCTTCGCCATAGATCGATATCCAGAATTCAGCTATTTCTTCTGTTCTTTGCTTCTGCCCCCCCCCCCMCCCCCCATCTACCTAGGTGAGTACTAATTATCTTCTAAAACCAGCCCGTTGAAGGAGACTTTATTCAGTGAAATGCTGAGGGCTGCAAACCCAAAATGTGTGTGTGTGAGGTAGTTCAAGGGAGCAGAAAAGAGGATAGAAGCAGATAAGTGAAAGGAAGGCTGGCAAAGAAGAGAGGGGAGACGAGGGGATGGAAGGACAAGTAGGCAGAGGAGAGCGAAGGCAGGTCTTGACTTCATTTTCACTGCGGGGAGGGGGTCGAATCCTTTTTTTGGAAGTGTGACATTTGGCATAACAAGATCCTGTCAGCGGGCAAGCTGCAGGCCTCACACGCAGGAAAAAGAGGGCTTGTACAGGGTAAATGTTAGGCTGCGACCAACAGAGACATGCTAGTTGTACGCACTGACGTACAGCATACTTGCGAGGAGGCGAGCATGGTGAATGAAAGAGACTCTGGGTGGGGTAGGTGGCGGTATGACAGGTTTATTGTGCGCTCTTCTCTTCCACTTGTGTTTCTTCATCTTTTTCCTGTCAACCCACACCCCCCCACCATCCCCCACCATTATCCACCTTTCTCTTCCTGCCTCCTCCTCCCCTAGGTGGTGACATTAACATTATTGAAGAGAAGGTCATGCAGCTGATCAGCGGTTCCTGTGAGCTCAATGTGCGTAATTATGCAAGTTTGACTGCACACGCACATAACTGGGCGAGTGCACAATGTGTGTGTGATTATGGAGTGCTTCTGCAAACACCTACGTGCATGCATAAACATGTCTTTTTGCTGGTCTTGTGGTAACGAGTGGGCAAAGGGAAAGAGAGTGTGTGTGAGGGGGGCAAGAAATTAGGTGCCAGAAACACGGCACAATGGCGACGATAAAGGAATTGCACATGGCTTAAGTCTATTTGGACAGACGCCGATCTGGAGAGACACCATTGATTGGCCGCGCACAAAGCCAGGGTCCATTTCCTAAAGGGCTTTTGGGATGAGTTCTTTATGCCAGCCAAGATAAGCTGAGACAATCCAGTGGCTGCTTCAGCAGCTCCACTTCCTCCATTAGAAAAGGAAATGTCCTTTGTGGTATTGGCTCAAAAAATGATTTATGTTAAAGCATTGGCAAACATGATCATCTCAATGAAATGAGTGTGTAAAATAAAGATTTTAGCTCCGATAGATGTTATTCTGTTTTACTGCAAAGAACCATAACAGTAGAGTTTCATGAAGAGTTTAGGGGTTCTTTTTAAGTAAAGTTCTTAAAACCTTTTGGTAAATAACCTTTTGAATATTAGGAGTTTTTTAACATCAAGCAACATATGTGGTTGTAGCTCAAAAGCTTTCAAATATGATATTACCAAGATTGCCTTAAGTTTGTGGTCCTGATTTAAACTATAACTATAGCTACATGACAATCTTGAGACTTTAAAATAGCATTTCACCAACCAATGAGTGATGTTGAGTTGGCCATGTCTGTCTTATATCGAATCCTTGGAAATGAACTTTAGACCCCTAAATTTTCAAAAATACTTTGAACTTGCATACTGCCAGAATTATTTTGGAACATATAGTAGTGTCCTGATACCGGTACTGGTATCAGCATCTGGCCCAATACCAGGATTTTCACAAGTACTTGTACTCGTACAAAACTCCTCGATACCAATACTGGCACAGATACTAATATCAATATGCCACTGAATGTGTTACAGTTTACATTTCAAGTCCGATGTTTCTCAGTTCCATGTTTAAAATAGTTATAAAAGTTGAAAGAAAATGTAATGTATTTTTAATTTATTTTTGAATTCTGCTACACTTAATATGTTGTATATTTGAAAAAAAAAAACTGTTATTGAGATAACCCAGTATATACTGAACAGATATTGTTTGCATATGTCTTGATAAAAACTGAGCAAATCTAACACTCTGTCCGCACTATTGCAATTTTTAAAGGAAATCTGCTGTGCTTGTAACTACCATTCACATCCACACACAAATTGAGTTTTTAGGTGGAAGAAAACCAAGGAAATTTTTTTTACCAGTTTGCTTCATTCAAATCCTGTTAAACACAAATGGGTAATAACTGGGAGGAAATTACTGTAATTTCCATATTATGCTAAAAACCTGAATACTTTTAGACACAATTTTGTGCAAAACTGGAGATTTTTTGCAACACATCTGCAATCATAAGGACGTTTCTTTATATTAAAATGCCACATTTATTTCTAAAGCATTTTGTTGATGAGGTTTATTGTTACAAAAGTAGTAGCGTCTTTTTGCTTTTCATATTTTTTGCATAAATAAACTGTGTTGGTCACCCTTCACTTCTGTTTGTAGTTTAATGACTGGATAAGCAATTAAATAGGAAAAAAGAGCATGTGAACTTGAAATCAGCTGAACAAAAAAATCTGTTTTTTTCCTGAAAAGTTGCGCATTTGATAAAGACTAAATGTGCAAATAGGTACGACATTGTGTAGCCTGTCTTTATTGCAACAAGAAAATTAGACTGGAAAACAGCCCTGGTTTAAACTGTTGAAGCACATTTTCCACAGCTGAACTGTGAATGAATAAAGTTAAAAGATGCTAGAATTTTTCATTGACAATTTAGAACAAAAAATTGTTAAAATCCTGACTCATGATCCTACTGTTTTGTATAAATTAAGACCCTAAAAGTGATCTAAACTTTATTTGAGACAATGTTTTAATACAGCTGGCTGTATTAAAACCCCATCTAGTGATCAGTGGGTAGAGTTGTCTCCAGTTTTAACACGGTTAGTTGTTCATTCCCTAGAATAAAAGACGACAATATTTCTGACTCCCTTTATTTTGCTGAAGCAATTATAGTTGCAATCTCTGACCAAGTATAAATGCAGGCCAGAGGTTAAATCTGGACCACTTATTGCGCCATCAAAGCATGTGATTAAACACTCAGTTTAAGTTGTCACAAATGCCTCATCACCTCAAAAGCACTTTAGTTTTATAGGACAATCAAATTTTTGACGACCATTGATTGAGACTTCTTTCAACATGACCAATCAGAAGAATACCTCTGACAGCAAAATGGGTCGTGAGCCTTTTTTTATCAGCTTTTACTTGTCGAGGCAGAAAAAATGTAAGTAATAAATTTAATTATGATCATTTAAGTGCAGCAATTAGCCATGTGACGCACAAGACTCCAGCTTCACAAACCGGGAGCAAATAAAATCATCCATCCATCCATCCATCCATCCATCCATTTTCTGTTCACGCTTCTTCCTTTTCAGGGTCACGTGGGTCACTGGTGCCCATATCCAGCAGTCACAGTGCGAGGGGCGGGGTACACCCTGGACAGGTCGCAAGTCCATAACAGGGACACACATAGAGACAAAGGAGACAAACAACCATTCACTCTCTCACTCACACCTAGGGATAATTTAGAGTTATCAATTAACCTAACAGTCATGTTTTTGGTCTGTGGGAGGAAGCAGGAGTGCCTGGAGAAAACCCACACATGCACGGAGAGAACATGCAAACTCTACCCAGAAAGGTCTCCGGACCGGGATTTGAACCGGTGACCTTCTTGCTGAGAGGCATCAGCTCTACCAACTGAGCCACCAA